GTGAGGATGCTCTACTAGTTCACATTTCGAACTGTGCAACCGCAGAGAAAACAACCTGTTAGGTCCGTGGGTGACACAGAGAGACTGGAGATAAGGAAATGTCACACTGAAGCACGGACTGCAGACTACAGGTTTGGCCACACTCCTATAGCCTCTGCTGTGCTTTATGCAGTGCTACAGGCCAAAACCCACTTCTTGTAGCTCCCTGCTTTAACGGCAGGTACGTATTTTGCTTTCTCGTCAGTAATATTGTAAAAAATGAGAAACCACAGGTTAGTTAACCAGGCAAAAGTACATGTCTGCAAACAAACAAAACCATTAACTGCTCTTTCAGACTACTCAGCATTGCTTAGACTCTTGCGGGTTTTGGTCGGGGAAGTTTTAAGAGCACTTTTACATGTTCTAGGTGGGGAGAGACATGTCCCTTTTACTAAAAAGACTGAACTGTAACAATTTCTATCAAACAGTTACCTGAATGGTTGTTTTAGACTTAGAGAATGTTTTTGCATGTGGATTTCTTTTCCTCTGATTTGGTGCATTGTAAGATCCTGAAGTATATTTGTCTGTAGAAAAAACATAGACGTTGTTTCTTAATTTCAGCTACGATTTCAGGAAAGACTCTCTTGGTCCGGTATGTGAATTAAATATTACATTAGCTGAAGTATCAATGAATGCATCGGGTGAATTGTATTCACCGCTGAAATACCAGCTAATATTAAATACAGACTCTCTCTCTAGTACTTTAGAGATCATTTGTCATCTTGCGGCATTTGCGTGAGGCTCACAGGATCTTCCAAATGAGGTGATTCTGCCACGGACATCCTTGACTTTAACAAAGTGAATGTTCCTGTGTTGAAAATCTTCCCAAAGGCATCAGTTGCTTTTAGATTAAACTAATCCGTAAACTAATCTCCTGTTTTATCCCTGCTTGTGAAAGCCCTAGATGCAAGGCAATATTATATTTTTTGTGCTAGACAGCTGATTTTGCAGGAGAGTAAGCTGCCTAATGACTAACCATTTTCTGTAAAATTTGATTAAAAAATAATATTATTAATGCTCTGGGTTTCTGTTAATTCTAGCTTAATTCCATTCATTCAAATTACTAATTCCACAATAATCCTGAAATTTTCAGTTCATACAGAACAAGTAAGTATTACCATAGTTTTCCATTTGGGTCCAGAATCTTCTAGTAGTATCAAGCTGATTCTTTTGCTTGGAGCCTTTCCAACCACGTGGCTCAGGTACTGCTGGAAAGAAAGGTAGCAAAAATGGTAACGGTTGTTCTTATGACAAAAATGCTGGTCACCTTTTTTTTTAAATGCTCTATGCTTTTTTTTAACCTGGAAATTTGGTAAGATGTATTCTTCACATTAAGAATGTTCTCTCTGTAACCTCTATACCAAGCTGTCCACATTTAATCAAAGCAACCATTAAAAGAAAAAACCCGCAACTATTCCTGCCCAAGACGAGGCAGTGATGTTGGGACTTGTTTCACTTACCTTTGTTCATCTGAAAGTAGGGGTTACTCTGTGTGAAGGAGGTTCCTTTTATTGGAAATTAAGACAGGGAAGCACCTCAAGGTGGAGATTCAACCCAGCTCAAGAGAGATGATGGAAACTGACAAGGTGAAATCAATTTCTTAGCTTATGATCACTGAAATTATTTACCACTAGATTTTTGGATGAAATGACAGATGACAATAAACCCCAATCATCCAGAGGTGAGGGTATTGGTATATTTGTGCCCATTGGAAAAACATTGCATGCATCCCTCTTTGCTGGGCAGAGAAGTGAATTCCTGCTATGAAGGTAGCTAAATTATTCTTTGTGAATATTCTGTCTGACCAACTGTAAAGCTTTATACAGCTTTACATGTCTGTCTGTGGATAGTGCTGCAGTCACTTAGACTGGATCAAATTAGACTGGACCAAATTTGCTCTTGCCCATATTTAGCCATAATTCAGTTCATATTCACATGCAGGGACAAATGGAAAGCAGCGTGATACAGACAGGTGTATTTGAGGCATTTTAAGACTCCTCTGTGAGCAGGAACGCACCTGTAGATCCACTGAACTTTGGTTCTTGGGTGGCGGTGACAGTACGGTAGACTACATATGCTGATCTTCGAGGTTCTGAAGAATTAAAGTAAGTCTTTCCTCCAGGTCCTCTCTCATAAGGAATATAAGAAGAAGCAGTTTCATCATCCTTCCTTTGACGCCTTTGTTGGTACCTTGGTTTGACTTTGGGGTCTGAAGTGCGAATTCCTGAAAGTGAAAGAACAAACTTAAGCAATAATGTTGTGCTACTACTCAAAATTTGACCTACTGCAGGAGGTTGGAAGACAAGATTCAAAAAATGGTCTTTGTGGACAGCCCTATGCAAATATAATCAGTTATTTTATTGACCATGTGATGTTCAGCATTGAGAAGCTGATGCTAAAGTATATTACCTCCGTTTTCAGAGGATCTGCAGTCTGTTCTGGGAATACTCTCTATTGGTCCTCTCCTTCCTATAGTCTCTCCTTCTCTCTTTGTATTATTCAGTTTTGTAGGAATTGCATTACCATCACCTGGAAAGGCAACAGAAAGAAGGTTTTAGCTGCTTGTGTGTAAGCAGCACACGGAATGGCACTGCCATTCTCTTCCCCCCGCCTCGATGAGCTAGCGATTGGTTCAGTGCAATTTCCTTTAACCTCTTGTTTTATAGTCTTCTTTCTCTGTTTTTAGTTATTTGGATCCTGTCTAGTGTAACTGAGCACCTGACGCTTAACTCTCATGCTTTCTAAGAAAATACCATAACGCACAGGTTGAAGAAGACTGTGGCTGCAAAGTAAAGAGCCAGCTACAAATTACCTGCTCATTCGTTAGTCCCTCACTTTTCATGAATGATATTTATGAGCCCTATCCAATTGAGTTTATGGTATTTTCAAGATGCATGTCATCATAGTACCTAAAGCCTCTGAGAACTCAGTTGAGGCAATGCTTTGGGGAAACATCTCTGAATGTATCTGTCTTTTCAGACTGTCTTAAATGCAGCCCTGAACACAATCCCCTCATGCACTACTGTCCTCTGAGTGCTGACTACCTGCCCAGATACATCCTTTCTCTGCACTGCACAGGTGGTACATGGACCTCTGCAACATCCACGGTTGAGCCCATGGAAACCAATGCACTCCGAAGGACACCTTCTGGCTGAACGATGAATTACCTCTTCTGTCTGTAGCATCTAGATGCATCCTGGACACGGGCGGTTCGTGAACGTAACAAAATACTAGAAATGATGCGGCTAAACTTGGAAGAGCCTTGGTTGCGCAGGTAAGCCCGCTTCAAACTACAAACAGAACTTCACAAGGGGAGTTGCAGTATGAAGCAACCACAGTGCTCTTCACCTGCCCCCTGCTACTCTGCAGGAAGACATGGCTTTGCCTGTTCTTCCCTTTCTCCTGCTAATGTAAATAAGCGCTTTTGGTTCCCCTCAGTTCAGGCCAGAATGCAGCAGAAATTCTGTACTTCTGCTTCAGTTTGGGGGCTGGTTTAAAGCCCAAACAATCATAAATCCAGCCCAGTCCAAACTCCAGTGAAATTCCAGGTGTGGAAAAATACCATGCAAAGCAAGACCATTCTTTCATCCCCTGCCGGGAAGAAAAAAGTTGAACGAGAAACGCTTCTTGAAAGGAAACTGAAATTCTACTGCACAATTACTGCTACTACTATCAATATTTGCAGTAGGCTGAGAAGTTAAAGGTGGACTATTATGAGGCTTCTTAAATATTTCCAAAGAATAAATCACATAAAAGATGCTGTAAAAGTGGGGATCAGTGTATTTGTGCCCATCGGCACATCGTTGCATTCATCCCTCTTTGCTGGGCAGAGAAGTGAATTCCTGCTATGAAGGTGGCTCTATTATTGTTTGTGAATATTCTGTAAAGCTTTATGAAGCTTTACATTTCCATCTGTGGATAGTGCTGCAATCTACTTACGAAAATTATGCTGGATCAAATTTACTCTTGCCCATATTTAGGCATAAATCTGTTCATATTCACATGCAGGGACAAATGGAAAGCAGCGCGATACAGACGGGTGTATTTGAGGCATTTTAAGACTCCTGTGTGAGCAGGAACCCACCTGTAGACCTGTTGAACTTTGGTTCTTGGGTGATGGTGACAGTAGGGTAGAATGCAAGTGCTGATCTTCGAGGTTCTGAAGAACAGAAGTAAGTCTTTCTTCCAGTTTCTCTCTCATAAGGAATATAAGAAGAAGCAGTTTCATCATCCTTCCTTTGACGCCTTGGTTGGTACCTTGGTTTGGCTTTGGGGTCTGAAGCGTGGATTCCTAAAAGTGAAAGAACAAACTTAAGCAATAATGTTGTGCTACTACTCCAGATTTGACCTATTGCAGGACACTGGGGGCTGGAAGATGAGATAGTCCAGTTGAAATATGGATTGTCCATATTTGACACCAAGAACAGAAATTCAATAGGTAGTGCTAAATCATCTAACAGTTTAAAAAGCAACAATGAGGAAGGCAACTGTTTTCTCAAAATACCTTTGCCTGTTCCTGTATTAGGTGAATTTCTTGGCTCCTCAGATATCCCTTTCTCTTCCTGTACTTCTTGATAGTGATGGCTCTCTACCAGCTCAGTGTGGTTGGTTTCTGCGGGATTAAAATAGCAAGTATTTACTTCTTTAAAAAGCATGCAAAATTTTCATATCCAAAAATGCAGTGATATATTTCCTCTTGCAGAGTTCATGGTCACAAAATCTTGAAAACAAAGTCAAAAATTGACTGTAAACACAAAGACTAATGCTACTTTGAACTCGTACAATGGCTTTGACCAGTGCTGGCTCAGAATTCTTCTCATTATGAATTAGGAAATATTCATTAATACTGTACTCTATGCTTTTTCCTGAATGTAGCTAATGATAAAGACATATATTACAAGGTGTATTCATGTATTTGTTACTGATCCCTCATCTGTAGTCTAAATATATCTAAATACTTGCCAGATATAGCTTATCAAAGCTATTTTAATATGAAACATTTTACGTGTAGAAGTAAGAAGGAAATAATTCTGCCCAGTTCTATTGAGCAATTTAGGCTGGAAAAAGTGTCAGTTAAAAGTGCATGACATGGAGACAATTTTTCCATTCCCTTTTTTGTATTAGCACATCATCCTATTCAAAGCTGTTTTACATAAAACAGTATTATCAAGATTTTATCCCTGAAATTTACATGAAATATACAACAACTATTATTTTTTTGATTAAAAGTAGCAGGTCTTATTTCTGCCTAGCAATTTTTGATGACTGATCTACTGATTGCTCTGGTGTCTTGTTACCTTAAGAACATAACTCTCTCCTAATATGGCATCGTATATTACTTATTCAGTAAAAAATCGAACACAGATTTCTTTCAGTCATGGCACTTGCTCAAGAATGAAGGTGAAACCTAATGAAGGGGGTAAATATGTATTAATTTGTATTCCTTTGACCTTAATTATGTTGGATCAAGCCCAACAGTCAAAACAAAATGGAACTCTCTTGTTACTTCTTTTAGAAGACAGTTAAAGGGGGTATTTACTTAATCTCAATTTAGTTATAGAAAAGTTTGATGTGTCACTACATTTCATCATCCAGACACCCAAGACAGCCAGCAGAGAGCGCGAACACCTCTGGGCGAGTGACTCATCTCACCTTCCTGTGGCACTATCTTACAATGCAATAAACAGCCCCGTAAGAGTGCCTGTCTCTCCATTTAACAACGGAGATCCTGGATGAGACATTTCAGCTACACACCTCGCCTTAGGGTGGATAAAGTTAGACTACATAAATCTTGACCGTTGACCTGGTTTCAGCTGGGATAGAGTTAACCACGACAACCGTGAAGAAAAATTACATGAAAGACCTATGTTGTGTATCTCAGGAAAGTACATATAGGGTTAATAGCCCATTTCTACCTTTTCCATCTACAATCGATGCAGGTAGTCACCACATGTGTGACACTATTTATGTATATCTGTACGAGGGAAAATTAAGTAAGTTTTTTTATGCTCTTTGTAATATGCTTTTATTGTCACTAAATTAAAGAAGCGAGGAGGAGGGGCAAGCTATGTAATAGTTTCTCCCTGTGACAGTAATTTAAAAGTGGTAAACATTGTCCAAGAAGATGAAAAGTACTTGCCTTTCTGCAAGTGTTGCTCAGTAGCTTCCAAGGGCAATAGCTCATTTTCCCGAGGTGCAGACACAGTTTTTGTTGATTGGTGTTCGTGGGGGTACTGAATCCCGTAATACTCTCCTAAACATACCCCAAGAGGGAAAAAAACCCCAAAGTTTACTATATTGGCAGCACTGCTGTTTAGGAAAGAGTGACTAGTTTCATATTTACCAGACTTATAGCATATTTCCTTTATTGCTCTTTCCTCTTCAAGATCTGCAGCAGTCCTAGGCACCCACTCAGGAACACCTGTAGGAAATATTTTTAAAAGATTACTAGGTAGCTATACAAAGACCTTCAACAATTCTTAATAATCTAGGACCATAGTGACTTTCATTTTGGTCACGGTTGGTTTTTTTTCTGACTGTGACCTCTGCTTCTGGACAGAAAAATGATTCCTTAATACTGGGTATTTCCAAGTGCAATGGAACTGCAGTTACAACCCATACTAAGAAGCTAATGTTTGTTGATTTAAAAGGATTCCAAACCACCTTCAGTGCTCATTTTGAAAATGATCCTTCATTTACACCCAAAAGGAAATCTTCTGATTAAACATGTCACCAGGGAGTGCTTGTCGCAAAACCTCTGCCCAAAGTTACTGTCATGTAATGTCTGCCGGCAGAGCTGCTGAAGTGAGCGCTCCTTACCTGTCTCAGTGAAGGCTCCTAAGGCTAGCAGAGCCCTGCTTTTGATACCATTTAAGTTAACATGGCTTACTCAGACTGAAGCTGAGTTAGGAAGCACTAACAGGCAGCCCTGCCAGCCAACCTGAAGGGCAGGTGTAAAGCGAAAAGCAGCTTGGGGCTGCCTGAGAACTAGCACAGTAATGTGCAGAGTGCACACGTGAGAGTAGGTCTTTCTCTCACTTTCAGCCTCTGGGAATGTGCAATTCATTCCTTCCCTATGCATCTCTGGTCTCTCAGGCAATGGTTTAACAACATGGAAAAAAATTGGAAAAAGAAAATAAAATAAATATATACACACTCACATTCAGTTAAACTAGTTAAGATTTTTGTATGGATTCTCTTTGCCAGATTTAAGACGAACTTCCTGTAGTAAAATGAGACTGCCTATAGGGTTTAGGAAGTCAGTCAAACAAATTACTTAAGTTAAAGTCACACAACTGTCTTTTGTAAACAAACCTGTGACTTCACCTTCAGTGATGAGTGTGTACAGCCCCTGCTCAAAAGTTTGTTTCCCAGAAAAGCAGTGCTTCCTAAACCTGTAATTTGGCCCCTGAATTTTGAGAAATTTGAAGAGTATTTGATGGTCGTCTGAATTGTGGATCACGTTTGAAACTCTGTTTAATGAGGAAGAGGTATGTGAATTCTGCCACTATTGAAATATACAGCTAGCCATTTCACAGGAGTTGGAAAACGTTGCCTCACTCACATCTGGTGACGAGCAGTTCCAATATTTCAGGGATTAGCTGGAAACTATTTCAAAAACTTGTCAACAACTCTTCTCTAAAAATGTGATGGTTATTATAAGAAGTCAGTTGTGAAGTACATTGCAAGAGTTGAAAAAATCCATCCTACTTGCTTGTCAAAGAAAGAAAAAACCCGCTTACGATTCTCTTCCTCTTTATCATCCTCTTCATCGTCCTCTTCATCATCGTCATCATCATTGATGTTTATAATCACTGGAGGATGAATTGGTAGTACAATATTCTTTTGATTTCTGAGTAATTCTTGACAATGCGCTGGAGGCAGAATCCCTCCTTGGATACCCTGTTGCAGTGGGGCACCTGCAGAAAAGAGCATTGTATTTATTTTGTTAGGCAGGAACTAGAATATCAAATCCAGGCTCAGACCAGCAGGTATAGTTTTGAAATCATTATCATGCTGGAGGAGTCATTAAATAGACAGATTGTGCCTTTTAGGAAAAATCTTCTGTGGAGGCTGGCAAAAGAGCATCTTCCCACTACAGAAGGTGTGAAAAAACAGGTAGATATTTACAACATAGGGAAACACGCGATTAGTAATACCTGGGCTGAAGTGAGTAAGGCAGTTTAGGACCCCACCTGTGAAAATATTTTAAACATGCCGAGTAATAGGCAGGCCTGTAGACCTCCCCATGGCATCAATTGTGAAGAATTTAGCAGCGCTAAGCACGGGATTACCTATTTTTGGCTTGTAGACATTTTTTTTCTATTAGAATTTTCTGAATGACAACTCTTTCTCTTACTCGGTACAAAATGTAGATTTTGAGAAGGAATATGAAGTTCATGAAAATAATGTACACTTAATTAGAAGACAATCAGGAAAGATACTCTTTTCCTTAGGAATTTACCCGTGATGATTGCCACAAAAGTATTTCAGTACTGGGATAGCATTTTGGGAGAGCCAGGAAATGCAACAGACTGAAAATAAAAATGATGAAAAATGGTGAGCCTATTTGTACTGTTCAAGCTGACCAGTTTGCAACTATAGATACAATCAGGATTGAAGTTGGGTATTTTTTCCGCTTTTAAAGAAAAAGATGAAGCATGGGCATTTTATTTTAGTTCAGTTGTTGTTATTCTTGTGCATCTCTTGCTTGCCTATGAGCAGCATGCGTTATTGTATTAGACCCGTTTTAATAACGCTACTGCAGATCAGATTTGTCATATCTCCTGCAAGAGAAAGTAAGATACAACATTTTAACCTGATAGAGCCTTTTTCGCTGTCCAGAACAGGATATTATTAGCTCTGGGAAGGGTAAGACAAATCAAGCTTGAATTAGTTTAACAAGATTTGTAAGTATTGAAACGAATAAATGCAGTTTTAATGTTTGCAATGTTATTGTGGAGCACACGGACTTTGAATTTATACGTACTGCAGTACAGAGTAAAAGGCTTGGGTCCATTTTCTCGTTTGGATTGTTGAATGTTGCTCTTACACAGGATACCCTCGTCCACAGTGCCTCTTGGGCACAGTCTCTGACTCACACCGCACCCAAAAGCGTGCCTATGTGATGTTTACGACAGCACTAGGTGCCAGGGACTGACGCTGTGGCTGTGGGAACTGTACTAAAAGCCATAGGGGCACTCACAGAAACAACACTCAAGTTCTTGCCTTGGTCCTGTGTGGTTAGTTAGGCTCCACATGCCCAGGTATGACAGGCTACCTTTTCCTGGGGGATTTTCAGGAACAGAAGGTGTTTGCTTCTGACTAGAGGTCTTTGTGGACTTCTCTTATGACACCTGTCTCCAGCTCTGGCAATAAGCCCCACGAACAACTCTGGTTTAGTCCACTTGTTCGTGTATCCATGACAAGTCATGCTGCCTTGCTCTCACTCCTCTTTCTGCCTGATTTCTGACATCTGTCTTGGTTCCCTGCCCTGGACTCTTACCCTGTTCCAGGCTCCAGCTGTCTACCAGGACTCCTGGCAGACAAGAGCTCCTTTCTGAAAGGACTGAGGGAAAAAAACAACTTCAAATGGCGGGTTTTTCCCTAAAGAGTTGTGCTGCGTTACACACTATTACTGTACTTCAGTAGCCTGCACCCAATGTTCAAGCCTGACAGGCTTATTCAGAACGATGAACTGGAAATACATCTGCGCACATGGCACTGTAATCTTATGTTATCTATAGAAGGGGTGTCTCATCCATGTAACATGTTGTGCTCTATCAACAGATGTTGCTGCTAGTGGCCCTACCAACCTCCTCCCCCCACCACACACACTACTTTTCATTTCTCTTAAACGATTGCCTGCCTACTAACCATTTTCATTGCTAGAGGGATTTCATCTAGCAAATACGCAAGGAAAGCAACATTTTTACTCCACGGGTCTCAGCAACCTAAATTGCCACTTGTGACTTCATCTTTCACGTCCCTCATAGTTCCAAAGATCCGTAACATGAGAGCTAAAAAAATTCATGTGGCAACCCTATTCAAATGCCAATACAATTCCTTTCTTGGCCTTCAACTTGCTGGGAGAGCAGGTCGTACCTGATTGATTTGCCACAGTACATTTCTGGGCCTTAATATATATTACGTAAGCACCGGAAGGACATTTTTGTGTATTTACTTGCTCTAATGCACAAATTGTTGAGAAAATATTTTTACTCACTGTTGGTAGGCGGCAAAAAAAGTCCATTTATGTTACGAGGTTTGCTATGATGGAAGGCACAGTTGAACCTCACACAGCCTACGGGTTGTGTTTCCCAGAAACAGGGGACGTTGCTGTATTTTCGCTGCAGGAGAAAACAGTTTTCAGATACTGTAAATATAACAATAAAAATGGACTAAGTGGCTTCTTACATGGTGCACCACTGTGAACACCTGACTATGATTTTGTGGGACCACGTTCTGACATTTTAGAAGATCTAAAGTTATCTCTAAAGTTATCTTAAGCTCCAGGTAGCTCTAAAGCTGTCTTGAGTTAGGTCAGTGGAGCTTTCAGGAGGTAAAGCAGTGTGCTTACTACACTGCAGACTTGTCCTGAGATTCTGGGAAGAAAAAAAAACTATTAGTCACTTAATGGACACGTGGCGGAGTTTCCTTTCCTGCACAATGGGATAATCAGGTCAATCTCAGATGAAATCTGCTGTACAAGTGCCAATCTTAACACTAGTGCTCTCCTACCGTTAAAGGACCCAGGTCCTTGGGAAAATAAGGAGTAAGAAACAAAACCCAGAAAGATTCCCAACAAAACCTGAAAAAATAAAAATTTGGGAACTTGCAAGCCTCGTACAGACTTGTCAGACTTCGATTTCAAAACACGGGAGAAAATCTTTTGTTCCAGTTCCCATTGGGAATGTCAACTCAGCAGAAGAAAGTCACTTTTGTTTTCAGACTAAAAACCGTGCTTGAAGGGACTTGCTCCTTTCTACCTTTATTTCAATATCTCTCAATCTGCCAAACAGATGTGAACATCTCCCCTGTCTCCATAAGGAGCACTCAGAATCACAGCCAAGAGGTTTTTCACAGTGGCAGAACCTGCACCTGGAACCCTCATGAGGAATATGACTTTGTGGGTAAGTCACACTAGATTCCCATAACCTAGTGGTTGCCTTAAACATGAATCTCCTCTTTTGAAACGTTTTGGTTTTGATTCATGGGGGAGATGATGCAGTAGTCCACGTGTAACGGTACTACGGTGACAAGCATTTGCAAGTTACTGCAAATACTCAGGATTTGATGTTGTGAGACAACTGTCATTACTCCCTGCTCACAGCATCTCCCAGCTGTTTTGATACATGACAAACAGAAGCCTCATGGGAGCAAAAGAATATCTACAAGATTTGTTTAATTATTTGTTTAATTATCGCTGCTTTCCTCATAGATACACTCCCACTGCTGCTCTCCCTCTATCGCTCAATATGTCACCAGCTAAAAAGTCTGCACAATATTGGAGAGAAAGCACTTTCATAACGAGGGTCACTTTTGTTAGTCATACTTAAAATTATTTTTCTGTATCTCTGCCTTATTAAAGTTTACAGATATTAGCGTCATCTCTGACTATGGAATTCACTTCTCCTTATAACCTGAGGTATCTTCCTCAAGCACATGATAAACTCATAATTCCAAAGAGGCAAGTGCTCATGGCCATTACCCTGAACGTGTGAACTCAGGTTTCTATGTCCTGGATATGAACTCCATCCCAGCCGAGTGCTGGAAATGCCAGGTTGATGGTCATTTCTGCGTGAGTTTGTGTGTGGTTTTTTAAAGGAAAACAAAATCACGCTGGGAACTATTTGAATACTTGAAGGTAAGTTTCACCCAGTTCCAGACATTAACAGCTGGGTCTCGGAGCAGCATCTCCAAAGCGTGCCAATTTTGGACTGGAGTCAGTACAACCGGGCCATCCCCTGAGACACGTTGGGGTCTGGAGCCAAAGCCCACCTCCCAGGCACTGACGCCTAAATCCCTGGTGCTGAAATGGATGCAGTAACGGATGCAAATATTACATAATGAGCCTCCCTTTCAGCATGGGTATATCAAGAAAATCAAGGACACAAACCACTCTAAAATCTACAGCATTTACCTGTGCATAGGGGGAGTGAAAATGGGAATAACGGTCATTCCCAACTGCGGCCATTTTCACCACTGGTACTTCTCCTCCACTCTCAGTACCGGCCGAACATACATGAAAACGTTAAAGCTGTCAACATCCAGGCAAATCGTAATCTTAGCCTGAAAGCGGTAGTTTTCTTTCAAAATCTGGGCCTTCAGAACCTTAGCCACGCTTCTTCTTTGAAACAAAACTCCACCAGACAGCAAAAGACACTTGAACGGAGGAGCTGCTGCCTTCTCCTGGCTTGCGGAACCTACGAAGGCAGTTGCTGGCCGGTATAGAATGTTAGCCTTCGGCTGTTGCCAGGGGCTCCTCCAGTCCATGACATCAGCATGGTGGTGCTCTGCGACCTGTCCGGCTTGAACTTCTTCGTTTATCTCCATTGCTTCAGAGTAAAATAGGGAAGATTGGACCCTTTCAAAGAGTCTCCCGGTGCCTCTTTAACGTAAAACGGAGCAAAGCCATATGGCAGGGTTTAAATAATGCCCAACTCCTTGCCGCAGGAACTGTGGTCTTGGAAACAAATCTTTGATACCACAAAGACAAATCTTACTTTCTGACTACTTTTTAATCAAAATCCTGGTGCCCAGTGTGTTTTTTCTTACTGTACCTCTTTCTTTGGACGGAGGAGCTTGCTCCTTCCTGCCAGTACACTGTTGGCTGTTAACTGCTTCCACTGTTGGGGTTCATTGCTTTTTCTTGCTTCCATGGTGGCCACTGCCACAGCTAAAGCAGAAAGACCAGCGTACACTTGTGTCCCTAATTAACACCTCTGTTCCCATGCAGGTCCTAGGCTGCCTCTGAACAAAAAATGCCTCGTGAGGGAAAGAAAGTTTCAGTCCCAGCAAATGGTAAGGCATACTGTCATCCCCAGGACAGGGGGTCAGATTTACAACACTGAGAGACATCAGTGACTCGGAGATGAACGCTTCAGAGCACTGTTAGAACAAAGCCTGGGAACGTTTCAAGTGAAACATCAAAGGCAGCGCAGAAAGGAGAAGGAGCCGCGAGCTCAGGAGAGAAGGATGCCATCGCTTGAAGATCATTAGGATACAGAAGCCAAAGAGAAGGGAGGTAGATACAAGGCAGAATTCAAGAAAGAGGAGTAGTGGTTCCTAGCACCACCAGAAGTGCACGTGACTGGTGGTTCCTTGGAAAAAACCAGCACCACTGGACTGGATGGACTCATCCCCAGAGCACACCTGTACTGTACGCCACTGGTCTGCCGGTGGGCACGGTGACTGATTCGTCCGTGAAAAGCTGGCACCAGTGAGCCTGTGGGCACAACCGGTACAAGGCTGGCTCAGCCAAGCTGGGGAAGAAGTACGAAGCCATTGAAATGACTGGAAGCCTCCTCGTCTCTCTAGGAGCCTACCAAATTGTTTGTAACTTGAGTATCAGCGGGTGGCCCCTTGAAGACTAACTGCAAAGGGAAATACCGTATGCCTGGCCACCGGGACTTTGTCACTGGAAGAAAGGGATTTCGACAGGAATGACGTCACCAAAGTACCGAATGAAACTGCTGACTGGGATGGAGGTGGGGAGTACTGGCGAGACCTGTGAACGGAGAAGCGATGTGAAAACGCTCCCACAGTTCCGTAAGCCCTGCAACTGACTGGGGGGGCACAGGGGAAGGAAAATTCAGGAGAGCAGATGAGGGCCATGAATAATGAACTGTCAGGGGGCAGGAGCAGCCAGAGGCAGACTGTGTTAACACTGCCAAGGGCTATCCAGACAGGGGCTCTTTGTAGCTGCATGGCTGTGCCTGAAGGAGGCACAGAAGAAGGTACGGTCAGGAAGAATTAATTCTGTATTGGGTTTGTGTGGCAAGGTTTCAGTAGCGGGGGGGGTCACAGGGAGGGCTTCTGAGAGAAGCTGCTAGAAGCTTCCCCATGTCCGACAGAGCCCATGCCAGCCAGCTCCAGGACAGACCCACCGCTGGCCAAGGCCGAGCCCACCAGCAACGGCAGTAGCACCTCTTTGATAACATATTTAAGAAGGGAAAAAAAGGTTGCCAGGACTCAGAAACTGCAGCCGGAGAGCAGAGTGAGGGCATGGGAGAGAAACAAGCGTGCAGACCCCCAGGTCAGTGCAGAAGGAGGGGAGGAGGTGCTCCAGGCGCCGGAGCAGAGATTCCACTGCAGCCCATGGTGAAGACCATGGTGAGGCAGGCTGTCCCCCTGCAGCCCAGGGAGGTCCACGGTGGAGCAGATCTCCACCTGCATCCCATGGAGGACCCCATGCCGGAGCAGGGGGACACCCTAAGGACGCTGTGCCCCCATGGAGACCCCACGCTGGAGCAGGCTCCTGGCTGGACCTGTGGCCCCGTGGAGAGAGGAGCCCACGCTGGAGCAGGTTTGCTGGCAGGACTTGTGACCCCCCACGCTGGAGCAGTCTGCTCCTGAAGGACTGCAGCCTGGGGAAGGGACCCACGCTGGAGGGGGTTCGTGGAGGACCGTCTCCCGTGGCAGGGACCCCATGCCGGCGCAGGGGAAGAGCGTGAGGAGGAAGGAGCGTCAGGGACAATGCCTGAGGAGCTAACGGCAAACCCCGTCCCCCTGTGCCGCTCGGTGGGAGGAAGGAGAGAAAATTGGGAGCAAAGCCGAGCCCGGGAAGCAGACAGGGCTCCGGGGCAGGCATTTTCAGGCTGGGTTTGGCCTTCTCATTCCCCTGCCAGGCTTCCATTGGCAATAAACAGAACGGCCGTCCCCGAGCGAGCCAAGTCTGCTCTGCCCGAGCTGGCGGTGGGCGAGGGATCTCGGCCCAGGAGCCCTCTGAGGAGCTGCCCAGCCCAGGAGGGTAGCGAGCGGGTGAGCAGGCGCCTGCTGTCCCGCCGGGTCAAGCCACCGCAGACGCCGAGGTGTACTGGGGAACCAGGGGAGGCACAGGCAGAACCGGAGAGGTGCCGACACCCTGGGGACAGGGCATCCCTGCCCCCGGCCCGGGCGTGCGGCTCCCCGGGGAAGCAGAGAAGACATCCCCGGGGAACTTGGGCTGCCCGGCCCGGGGAACGGCCGAGGGCCAACGGCCGACAACGGCCAACGGCCTCGG